CCCCAACACCACCCCAACACCACCCCCCACCGGCCCGCCCACAGGTCCACGGAGGTGCGCGCCCTTCAGTGTGGGCGGGAGATGCCACTTGTGAACGATTTAAACGGCGAGCGACCGAACAAGTAGTTGGTTCGATCGATCCGAGCGGGGAATGCAAATTAGGTGAACGACGTGGTCAACCCGTCATCAAAACTGAACTATTGCGTACAATCTCTATTTTTTCAAAACACATTGTTTAACTTGCATTTTTTTTTTGGGGGGGGGGTTCCTGGAAAAGTTTCGAATTCTTTCGGAAACATTTCAAACTCTGGCGCGTTTGAGGGTTCGGCATAAGGCGTCCACTAATGCCGCACGGCCGGGCCTGCTCTGAGCTGTCGCACTTTTGGCTACCATGGGGGGGGGGGGAGGCGATTGCGCGCGCGGCTTAAAAGAAGTATCGTTAAGCGGACTGTAACAGCGTTGGGCGGCAAATTAATTTTGCGCCGCTGTAAACACCCCGTGTGTACCCACTCGCCCCGCCCGCCGTCTCGGCGGGCGGCCGGCCTTCTTTGTGGAACCGCTTTTCGAGAGAAGACGTTGGGTAAGAGGAGCAGTTCGGTGGTGCTGCTGTGTGAGGGGCGGCCAAAATTGCATCCACCATTGTACTTTGTCGTTGTGCGGGCTTATCAGCGGCACATCGCTCTACTCCAAAGCAGCCAGCTCTGCTAGGTGTGTGTGTGTGTGTGTGTGTGTGTGTGTGTGCAACTCACCGAGCGCCATGAAGGGCACCTTGTGGCTCCTGGTGCCGCCCATGGTGACCATGAGGATGTTGGACGGCGCGGTGGGCCCGTCGCTGAAGGGGGCCTGGTGCTGCAGCCCCGTGGCGGCGCTGAGCAGCAGGGCGCAGGCCAGCACCCACCGGGTCGACGTCATTCTGCACACAAAACGAAAACGGGTCGGGGTTGAAAACACGAGCAAAGCAGGGCCGCGCCAAACTTTTCGAAGGGACGGTAGTGGCAGAGTTTCCCACCTAGCGCGCCCGCAACGCCTGCCACACACGCTATTTCCCACCCCCTATTTCCCACCCCCATGCCCTCAAAAACTTTTTTTTTCGTTACTCCCTGTAAAACCACGAGTTTGCAACGCGAACTTCGACCTCTTCCCTCCTCTTTTTTTTTTGCTGTAAGTTTCTGTAATGCGCTGCTGCCTAACAGTTTGTGTTACACGCACGCACGCACCCACGGCCCGCGAGGGGTGTGCGGTGTATTTGATGAGACGGAAACTGACTCGCCTCCCTCCTTAATGAACGCCTAATGACCTGGCCCAAGGGTGGGTGAGGCTCGCACCCGCGCATGTTCAGTTCGCAGTGTCTGGCAAGTAATTGTGGAGGGTACGCATCCCTTTTGCCGCTCCAAAGTCGGTTTTATTCGCTCGCTTTCATCTGCGAATTTGGCTTTCTGACTTACGCGAAACAAGACTCCACACGAACCATCTTTTTAACGTTTTAGGGGTTGGAGAGAGAGAGAGGGAGGGGTTGGTGCGGGAGGGAGACAGCTGTCTAATCCGGTTCTAAATTAATATTCAACGCGTCTTGGGCGCCTTTTTGTTCGTTGCGCACGCGGTAAGGGGAATGGGGCCAATAATAGAAACTGTCAGGTGTCTTTGGCCTCACTGTCCTCTCGACTTTTAATCTGTGTCCGACCTCGAAGGCGCGATAATCCCGGCTGTAAATCGATAGTCTCTCGAGAAGTCGCTACCACTCCACATCTCAGAAAGCCGGCGTTGCTCACCACCGACCAGACCAACGCTGTCGGTGCTATAAAAATCATTGTTTGTTTTACTACTATGGTCACAATTTAAAATCAAGTTACAGATAAAAGAGCATAAAAGAGCTTATCTCGCAATCGGATATTACGAACTTTGCCGCTTTAAGAGGACGCTGAATGCACATCCGGAGTGTTCAAAAGTCTGATGCACTTGAATGTGTGAAGTCTACAAGGAGGACCCATGCGTTTTCATACCCATAGTCTTTCTTACATTTACGTAAAAATTTCTAATAGCTGAAAATGTTAGTCCAAGTCTCTCCAATGTAGTATTCCGCCGCTGTTGAACACTCGTTGGTGTGGAATGGAGCAAGAGCTTGCTGAACACTTCAGACACACAAGCCGCCCAGCAAAGGAGACGTCCTGACTGTTTTACCTGAGCAGGCTGGTCGGTGTGGCTTCGGGGTGTAGGTGCCGGGTCTCGGGTGAGACCACCAGGACTACCTCGGGTGAAGTGAACCTCGTCGCCGTGCGACGGGTACCTTTTGAAATCGGCGACCGCGACCACTTGAGCCCCCCCAGGGCGCGGCGATAGAGATAAGATGGGGCCGGCAGCGCCCCGGGCCGCGCCGGCAGCGCGTCATTCACCCCGAGGTGGACAAGCGCCGGCACCGCGGCCGCCGCCGGCACCTCCCCGTCTCACCACTTGACGTCAGCCAGAGCCCTTTCATATACAGGGCCGCATTTCTCGTGACGATGGTCATTCGCGGCCCGTCGGCCATTCGTATGACATTCTGATGGGGATTTATACTGACCCTCCCCGCCCTTCTCTCTCTCTCTCTCTCTCTCTCTCTCTCTGTGTGTTTGTCTACCCATCTTCAAATTTGCCAGATTACGGCGAGCGCGGTTTTCCGGTCTGAAAACCTCTAAGCTGTCTTAAGCTGGTCGTGACACCGCCTGTCGAAGCGATTGGTGGTGATTGTTGTGTGTCTTGGTAGCAGGATGTCATTGGCGTCGAGCTAATCGGCTGCAATTTGGAGATCAGGCTGGAGGGCTAGGTGGTCGCTTACCAGGTGGTTCCTCGTTGCACTCGTTTGTGGACCTAGTTTTTGAGGCTAATTGTGACATTTGTAATCATAGCAAATATTTTTCCGTCAAGTCCCCGGCTGATTCGGGAAAACACTTCCCAGTGCGCTTTTCCCGCCTCATTTTTTCCAGGTTATGTAGGAACTTTTTTCTGAGGGAATTTGACGGCAAACTGGTTATAAAACAAATCTGAGGACGGCCCAACTTCATTTCTACCCGCAAGGCTCAAAAAAATACAAAATTAGTAAAACTCGACAATTCATCAACTTGTGCTCTGCGCATGGGCCAGAGAAAACCAGGAATTTTCCGGGAAATAATCGGGAACTTCGCGGGAAAATGATAAAATGCTTGCTGTGTCACGGTGTACCGCCACCTCGCCTCGTGCTTCTGGCAGGAGCGGTTTTTGCCGGCCAAAGGGAAGCGTTTTGGCGGGAGCGCGGTCTCTAACTTGTTTCACTGTGTGGTTGATTATTCTTTTCTTTTTTTTCCTTCAACATTGCCCTGCTCACTTCTCTGATTGGCTGCAGAGCCGAGCCAACGAGAGGGCGGGGCAGCGGAGCGTCCCATCGCGCGTGAGATATGTCATCAGGCGTTTCGGAAGTAGCGGCAGAGCGAGAGAGAGAGACGGCCGCAAACCAATGAAAAAATAAATAGTCTTTCTTACTCCTGCGCAGATTGGGGCGATAGAGAAAGAAAGACGCGCAGATAAGCCACCGTATTCTCATCACTGATTTCAAATACTCCTTTATCAGCCGTTCGTTACTCTGATTGCTTTTTCCCGTGCGTCAAACGCCGCCGCAATGACCAGCAACGTGACTTTAGCAATCGCCTTGTTGACGGACAGTTGACATTTTTTTTTATTTTTCATCGCCGCACGGCGGAAAAAGGGACTTTGTCGTGGCGATATTGGACCCTGTTCGATAGGCTAAATTCCGACTAAGTTCGATACCGACTAAATCCGATTCCAACTACCATGAGTTGGTATGGTTGTCACGAGTGGACACTTGTACGATGAGAACGTAAATAATCCCACGACAGTTTTGCCCGACACTTTTAAGTGCACCAGCACTGCATGGGGGTTGACGGGGCGTGGCGTGGTGGGGCAGGGCGCGGCGGGGCGTGGCGGGGCGTGGTGGGGCAGGGCGTGGCGGGGCGTGCTGCAGGGTCGGGGCGACGCGCCACCGCCCATTCACACCTCTGCCGTGTTGTCCGACCCTGCAAAGGTCATTGGCACGCCGGGGAGGGGGTTGGCGCGGCACCGGAGCAAAGAGGAAAAGGAAACACTCCTTGACCCGAAGGCGATTGGCCCACATTCCGACAGCAGCACATTGCGTCACGACGGCGGGTGTTGGTGCGTGTAGGTGTGTGTGTGTCGTGGCCTGCGACATGGAGGCTCACACGCACGCACAAACCCAACAGCAGTTACAGAGGGTGCTGTTGCCTGCTTGCTCTAAGTGGCCGACAAACATTTTCAGCCGACCTGGAGGCAGCCTTTTATTGACTCCGCGAAGGGCTCCAACAACCACAACAACACCGACTATGCGCTCCTTCTGTTGCTTTTGTTTGGTTTCCTTCAAGCAAATGCAAGCATTTGCTCATTTGGCCTAAGATTAATTAGCTTAAAAAATTGGCCATGACAGTAGTTTGGTAAAGCAAGAAACTAGTTGTGACAACCATAATATCTTAGCTCTCTCAGCTAAATTTTAGCTTATCAAGCTAATATTCTGGGCTTAGGCGAAATCAGCAAATAATGCACTAGCCCTTTTATCTATTTATACTTTTTCGTGTTTTTGGCGTCAGGTTTCACGGATGCTGTGTGAACAACAGCTGACCGCTGACTGTCCCTGTTCACCTGTGCGGCCGCTCCACCTGGACGCGGAGGAGTCTTTTCCGCGACTCTTTTCCCTCCCACACTCGCTCGTCCCTCTCCGGTGAGTTTCGAGTGCCTCGTTTCCCGCTGCGCACTATGCGACACTATCATCTCTTGCGGCTGTCGGTGACGGGTGACTCGAGGTCGCGTTTGTGAGCGTCTCCTGATTGGAGGTTCGTCGGCGAATGAAGGATAGGGCCGGACCGCTGTATCGCCCGCGAGGAGCCGTGTGAACTTTGACTTCCTGGTCGGGCGGGTCCGTCGAGGGCGTAGTCGACCTGATCGAGCACTTCGCGCCCCCGGTCACGCTATCTCTCTTTGTAAGCCCAAAGTGTGCACATGTACACGGAACTATCTCCCGAATAAACCATATGTATGCATCATTTCCTCAATACCTACCATGTACAAATAGTGTGTATATGCGTATGTGTGCAGTTGTAAAAAATAGTGCGAGTGTGTACATGGGGCTATATACGCATTTCGGCAAATCTAGGGATGTGTGTAACTGGCCAAAAAAGTGTGCACATGATTGTGTCTAGACAATCATTGTTACAGATTGTGTGTGATTGTCTTTGATTGTTTCGGATTGTTGGGTAAATATTGGTCCACATTAATTTGGGTCAGATTGTCACTTGATTGTTTGTGATTGTGTGTGATTGTTTCGAATTGTGTGTTATCGTTTAGGATTTTGAGTGATTGTTTCGAGTTGAGTGTGATTGTTATCGATTTGTGTGATTATGTGTGATTGTGTCATGATTGTTTCTGAATGTTTTTGCCGATGTACCCATATTGTGTCCAGTTCCACACCCCTCGTGGCAAATGCATGTAAGAGAGAATTGGTCTGAGGCGAAGACATCGAAGAAGCCGATGAAATGAAATAAATATAAAATCTATAAATATAACTTTCATTTGAGCGTGACATCATTCAAGCCTAAGGGATCATTTAGAGTGTGTTCGTCATCCGTCGATCCTGTCCAATTCAGCCCCTGCGAGGTCTCATAGCGCCTGGTAGATAGGCAACATCTCGCATGCAGTGCATGCGTGTACTGCGGAGCGGCCTACCCAGCCTCTCGCAGGCGCCAAGCTCCTGTAAAATTTGCCAAATGAATCTGTCGAAAACGGGCGTACTTTGTAGACGATCCATAAACAGTCACAATGACACTGCAAACTGCACTGTTATTTTTCCCCGCCACACTCCTTCGAAGCAAAATGTATTGTTTTTAATGGTTTGATTGAGGATAAGAAGCATGGTGATGATCGGAGACGTAATCAGAGGCGTGCTCGGTACCGAGGCGGACGCGAGGTGAGGGAGGGAGGGAGGGGGGGGCTTTGCGCGGGAGCGGGACTCCCCGGCGCGGGCGGCCACCCCCGCCGTTTTCCTTGCCCGTCTAGACGACCGCAAAACCCACAAAATAACGTCCGCAGTGTCTGAACAGCGGTTCCCCACCTTTTTTCTGGCGTTTTGTTTTGTCTTTTGTGACGTTTTTCTTGTCGTTCTTCTTGGTGGTTGAAAAAATATCACAGCACGGATATCCTGTGCCCGACCAAAAGGCATACCGCACCAGCTTTTTACTAGAAAATTTGACTAGGTGTTTTGTATTGTAGAAAATTCGAGAAAATCTTTAGTATTACTAAGCTCTATCCTAGTAATCAGTAACCGTTTTTGTAGTATTATAATTACGGTTCTCGGAAAACGTTG